TATATATATATATATATATAGGACTATTCAGTGTGAATTTATCTCTTGCAACCTTGTTCACAGATTTTAAGTTGACATAATGAGCGGGGGAGCCGAATCACAGCCGGTGCAGTCACGGAAATCAGCAAAAACGAAGAAGAAAGCGGCAGAAAGTCCAAAATGCAGGAAAATGCGGCTGGAAGTCGAGCGTGTGGAAATGCTTAAACAGGTCGCAGCCGAAAAAGAACGACGACGAGAAAACGCCCAGGAATTCAGGCGCAAAAAGAATGACGCCATCGCATTCAAGGCCCATAAAATGGCCCCTATGACGTGCACTTCGCATACCAACAGTACGGAGGCTGGTTTAGATAAATCGCCTATAAGTAGAACGCCGGATCCGAAGGGAACGAGGCAGAGAGAGGCGAAATCACCACCTGGTGTGGGAAAGTGTGTACCTTTGGAGAAGAAGAGTTGTGAAGCGCTAAACTCGAAAACAACGAATATGAGCGGGTTAGGCTCGACCTCGGTACCCACTACACCCACTAAGCCGATAAATGAGACGCGACAGGGGTATGCGACCACGCCTGAGGCAAGAGGTGAGGGAAAGGCAAGTGCTAGAAACGAACGAGGCATCGAGCATGTACAAAAACACGCAGCGAAAGCAGGTGTCGCGCATGCCCACAAAATCCAATGTGCTGATGTTGGGAGTGTGAATGAGCGCAAGTGCAGAGTACAGACAACCCGCTCTAGACATACAACGCAGCGTGTGGTAGCCACGCCTCCTTTCACAGCCGGTGTGAAGGGAGAGGCGTGTGGGGAGGATGCTAGCACTCCAGTGCCTTCTGAGCCAGTTGATGACTGTGAGGAATCTGTAGGAACTAGTTTGTCACCTGTGAACACTACTTCGTCACTTGAGGCCACTAAGGTGTCACCTGGTAAAATTAATTCGTCACATGAGGCCATTAAACTACTGCCTGAATCATCCGAGAGCTCGGATGTGTCTCCTGAGGCTACTATTCCGTCATCTGAGAGTAGTGCAGTTTTTGCACATGCAAGTGTGTCCAGAAGTGCTAGTACTACTCCAGACACAGAGGAGATGAATCAAGCTCATGCTCTGCACATTCCACCGCAACATGACGCGGATTGCAGTGTAGAGTCGGGTGTCGAGGGACCGGATACAGCCTTTGTCCACGTAGACTCCAGCAAGACATACAACAGTGCGAACCAGGCACATGCGGTAAATTCGCAGACAAGTCTACCACAAAGTGGAGATGATGCGGACAAGAAACGTGTGGATATGCAGGGCGAACTAGATGTAGACACTATAATAGACCAATCAGGAAAGGATGTACCTGACAAGCATGTGAATGTAAAGGGCAAATTAAGCGTGGCTGCTGTAGACTCTCCACAAGGGCCACGTACACCCCCCCACACACCCCTCGATTGCCACAGTATACAGGATCCTATGTTGGCTGAGGCCTATGCCGTCAATGCGGCGAAGCTTGAGGAGTGCTACAGAATGAGCAGAGAGATTGCTGTGTTACTTTGCGTCTAGGCGTTGTGATGGGGGGTGGTTATTGATTGTATGCTATTTGATCTAGTACGGACTATGAATTAAATAACACCGCCCCCTTGATTACCGTAGTATACAGGATCTTGTGCTGGAAGGGCCTGGCCTGTGTAGTAAATACGACGAAGCGTGAGGAGTATTGTGTAATGAGCAGATGAATTGCTGCGTTGCTTTGCGCCTAGGCGATTTGAATATGGATGGTACTTGATCGAACTCCATACTTTTTAACAAAAGTACATAAATATAACGATATACCCCCGTCAGGCTCCAAGACCCACTTTGCTAGCACAGCCTGTGTAGTAAATGCACCGAAGCTTGAGGAGTATTATAGATTGAGTAGTTACGTGTAGGGGATTTGGAAATGATTCTTGATTGTGATGTCTTCCATTATATTTAGTAAAAAGTATTAATTAAATGACAGACACCCATCAATGACTGGTGGCTTTAGTGCCCTGTTCTGGCTGGTTCAGGCATATGTCGTCGATTTATCACAGCTCGAAGAATACTACAGAAAGAGCAGAGAAACGTCTATTCACGTTGCATTGCGTATAGGTAGAGAATGTAATTGGGGTGAGCGTTGATGAAAAGGTATCCAAACTAATAAATACTATGGATGAAATATGTTCGTGTTATCTGCTCCGTGGTATTTGTAT